AGATGTGTATAAGAGACCTATTATCTCATTCTGGATATTCACTGGCTCCCATAGGACTAAAGCATCCATCATATGGAGTTGAATGTACAGTTGCTGTTTTGTGCTATACTTCCTGTGAAGTAAACATGATGATGTCTTCGTAATAATGTGTATAAAACAACAATAGTAATGACGATACCGGTAATAATGTTGATGATGATGATGATGATGATGATGATGGTGATGATGTTGATAATAATAATAATAATAATAAATAATAATAATAATAATAATAATAATAATATTAATAATAATAATAATAATAATAATAATAATAAAATGGGCTATATTTAGATTTATTTTATTTAACTATTGTGCTGAAAATTTTGTACAACTAATCTATACACCATGTACTATTCGATCTTATATATGATTATATTATTTATTATTAGATATTAATTTAATGTTTTGACATTGTTATGAAAAATTTGTAAAAAAAAATAATGAAATAAATACGTGGTAACTCCACAAAAGAGAAAGAGAAAAAAATAAAATTAATAGTGATAATAAAAATAATAATAATTATAATAATAACAATAATAATCATAAAAAAATAATAATAGTAATAAAAATAATCCTACTCTAAATAATAATGTACCGTAATTAATAATACTAATACTACTAAAAATAATGATAATAATAATGTTAGTAACTTACAAAATTATGATGATAATAATGATGATGATGATGATAATAATTTATAATAATAAAAACAATGATATTAATATTAATAATTTTACTCTAAATAATAATGATATCAATATAATACTAATACAACTACTGCTACTAATAATAATAATGTTATAGTAATAATAATAATAACATATGAAAAAACAATAGCAAACAACAATATTATTATTAATAATAATAATAATAATAATAATAATAATTATAATAATAATAATAATAATAATAATACCGTATTTATATAGCGCCTAACAGATCACAGATCCCTCTAGGCGCTTTACAATTCTTAATTTAATTTAATTTAATTTAATTCAAGATTGACCATAACTATGTTCACTTAACTACAATATGGTAAAAACTATCCCCCACCAGACACCAACCCGGTATTTCTGAGTCAAGGTTTCGGGGCCGGGATTTCAAGATAGGACACTTAAATAATAGTAACAATAATAATAATAACAATAATTACAATAATAACAAATTTAATTAAGAAACAGGTGAGCTTTCAGTTGTGACTTGAATATACTGACTGATGGAGAAAACTTAATAAGGATTGGTAAGTTATTCCAGACTGCCGGTGCTGCCGCAGCAAAAGATCTCCTTCCATACGCAGTGGATGTTTTAGGTACTGACAGTAGGTAGTTATCAGCTGACCTCAGCGAACGCGAAGGGGTGTATTCTGAAATTAACTCACGGATGTAACCTGGAGCAATTCCATTCAATGCGTATATTAAATGATAATATACATATTATTAATAATAGGCCTAATAGTATCAACAATTATATAATAATAATAATAATAATAATAATAATACTAATAATAATAATTACGAGCGCTTGCAGGCTTTCGACGCTTGTCGATTAGATACGGGACCGAAACTGTATAAATCCCAGTCCGTTCCACTGATATTAATAATAATAAATAATTTGTGTTTATAAGGTATGTATTTATAGGCCTATATATATATATATACATATATATATATATATATATATAGATATATATATAATTATATAAAAATATTTGTGCGACAAGTAGAAAATAAAACAACGTTTATTAATGCACTCTCTACGTGTATTAACTAAAATATGCACAATCATGTTAATGCTAATCATAGAGCAATTTGCTGTACTGTAGATGGTAGTTATCTGATAGAAGATTATATACTACTATTGCTAATTTCTAAAGTTCAATAGAAATATTACCATTCCTCTCGCAACCTGTCTCGCTATGTTGAACATGTCAGTCTCTTTGATGCTGTATATTGTGTCATCCATGTACTGACCATTCCGGACCTGCAGACAGACAAGTACAGACATAAGTAGGTTGATGGATTAAAATATTTGCACGTAAAAAAGTGATAAAATGTTCATAGGATCGCTTTATTACCACTATTTCAACAAATAACATAATTATTATATAACTTTAAAACTTCAAAAACTGGAATGACTCTTAAATTCTAGCAAGTTTTGTTAAGTTAAATTAAAGAAATAAGATAATGTTATTATTATGTGAACTGTAAGAAATGTTTTTACAAGCTGATTTAAACAAATATTTCGATTTCAAATGGATAACAGGAGTTGGTAAGGCATTCGAGAGTTCAGGGCCATGGTAAAATAGTAGTTATAGAAAAATAAATATCAAATTATTACATGTATAGGTAAATTAAATGAAATTATGTAAAGGAGATAAATAGGGCCTACATGTTTAAGGACATACATGCATACATACACACACAAACGCATACTTACATACATACACACATACAAACATACACATACCTAGATTGCTTACTTATTTAGAAGGTTCTATAAATATATGTAGGCCTATATATTATATATTTTTAAACCTCAATTTGTTCTTATTTTTAAGTAATTTCAGCCTAGTGATTTGATAAATGTGTTCGTATAAAAAAAAAGTGTAAGAGAGTGACTAATAGCTAGTTTTCGTCGCACGACGTTATCCTTAACTTTAACGTTAGTACCCAACATGCAATGCCCCTTTTGTAAACAAATCGAAATACGCATGCGCAAAACCGTAACTAACGCACGTCCAGCACGTAAAATCCTGAAATTAACGTACTCCGCAACGCAAGATGAATAAATTATGACGTCACTGTTAACGTTAAGCTTAACGTCGTGCGGCGAAAACTACCTAATAACCGCAGTAGACTTAATGAATCATAACTGGAAAAGGGGGTTTGACCACGTATCCTTCTCAGTTTACCTTTTTACATATTCGGAGAAACCCAAGTAAATCACCGTATTTCATTAGTTCGGTTATCAGTAGGTACGGCTCATCAGAAATACAGCAACCCAACACGGAGATTATATTCTGATGTTTACCAATGTTGATAAGCAATTTGATCTCATCAAGAAAGTCTACTTTTTGTGCCTGACTCGCTGTCACTAATTGTGTAAAACAGAAAAAAGAAAAAAAACCATTATTGAATTATTCATTAGATTACACGACAACAGTAGGAAAGATAGTATAATACATACTCCAAGTATCGAAATGCACGCCATCGTGTCGGGATTCAATATTTCGGCATAAATTATGTCATTATCAGGAATACTAACAGGATGTGTGTATGTTCAGAAACAACCCTAATGTTATTTTATCAGATTTGTCCCTTTTAACCACTACTTTAATTAGAGGAAGTACATGCTTAAATGAAATACAAATTGCATGCTATTTGAAATTGTTCAAAAGTATATTTTATGTACAAATCGTTTCTCTATCTAATCTATGGTTTTATTGAAGCACCATTTAAATAAAAATTAATTCAGGGAATCAATTATAGTTCCTTGTTTTTAAGGACCCTTTCTTGTAAAGGGACCAATATAATCTTTTTTTAATAAAAAAACAGGATGAAAATTGAGTGGAGAATTCACTTGTTCATTGCTTCAATTTGGATCTGAGCATCTTAAATCCCGGCCCCGGAGGAAATTTTTTTGAATATGTTGTATAACTCATTTTTCTAAGACACGAAACACATTTGATGAAAAACTCGAAAGCGGTTAATAAGATAAAGATTTTTGAATATATAAAAACTGGAGGAAAAAAGGGGCCTTGTCATCTTTTTTTCAACCCAAGTGATTACCACCAACGCGGAAATAATTATCATCATCACTGTTGTCATCGTTGGCGTCATCACCATAATGGTACGAGAAATAAACATATAGGCCTAGTAATAATGGCGATGATTAACGTGAATATGATAATAATAATAATAATAGACTAATATTATTTCCTAAATTCCCCTATAAAAATTACACTTATATAACATAACATCCTCCCATGGATAAAACAATGTCAAACTACAGACTCTATATAGTAATAATAATAATAATAATAATAATAATAATAATAATAATAATAATAATAATAATAATTGATGATGATGATGATGATAATCATGATGATGATGATGATGATGTTGATGATGATGATGATGATGATGATGATAATAATAATAATAATAATAATAATAATACTTCGTATATAGGGTCTGTGATCTAAAATAAAGCGTCTTACGTCCAATGCTCTTTACCGCCACCTGCATGTTTGTCCTTGACAAATGAAGATTACCAAGATGTACAACGCCAAATTTCCCATGTCCCAGCATATCTCCCAGCTGAAGCTGTTTCCGGTTGATTTCGTGGTTTGCATAACTTAAATCTCGAACCGGCGAAGATACATACCTTCTGCCAGGAAATGGGCGAAGTTCGATACTCGGGTTTTCATCTGAGAGAAAAAAAAATGTGAATGGCTGGTTATTGCTTATTATAAAAGAATTCGCTGATTTAAAATGTTATAAAAATAATATAGAAGTAATTATAATAATGATAATAAAATAATAATAATAATATTAATAATCATAATAATAATTTATAGTAATAATGACAATAGTAATAATATAATAATAATAATAATAATAATAATTATTATTATTATTATTATAGTAATAATATCTGAGTTTATCGCCTCAGTTGACAAGATATTTAAATCGAATTGATAAGCAGTAATTATATTACACTGTTAAATGATACGGTATACTGTATATTTTTTAATTGAGTTACATTACTGCAAGCTCATTGTTAATCCTCATTTTGTAATAGGCCTAATGGTTTTGTATATTTAAGTGTGTAAGAGGATTCGGTTGGAAACTAATTGGATGATCTTATTATCTTGTATACAATGTTTTAATAAATACATCATGCATAAGTTATAGTAATACGATGCTTCCAACTTATGGCATATAATACATGAAATGAATCATTTAGACTACTTAGAATTGCACTGACATACCAAGCAGTGGTTACCACCAACTAGTAAACATTTTAATGAGTAGGGCCTATCATTTTAAATAGTGATTAATATATTAGCGCGTCAGCATTTTAACAACGAATTACATAAACGAGTTTACAATTAACCATCGATCAAATCTCAATTCAAACCAAAAGTGAATGATCTATAATCTAACTTGTCAATTACATTGTACTTATCCTATTCATAAACAGTAATGATGAAGATGCGTCCTCAGGTATACCTAATGGGCCTGCGTTTGATTGCGTCAATACGTACTGTCCACATTAATCAAACCCTTCACATAACTCTTTGAGATGAATACTTGCGGTTTATAATAGGACATTAGTATTATGTATTATTCTCTTTATTCTTCTAATTATTATGTTATTATTATCATAATCATAATTAATATTGTTATATCTATTGTTATTATTTTTTATTTATTGATTTTAGTGCTGTTGTTATTTCTATTATAATAATTATTATTATTATTATTATTATTATAATTATTATCATTAATAATTATTATGTTGATGTTAATCTTAATGTTAATGTTATTATTATTATTATAATTATTATTATTATTATTACTGTTATTCTTATTATTAAATATAAAATATTATGTTAATATTATTATTATTATTATTATTATTATTGTTATTATTATTGTTATTCTTATTAATAAATATTAAATATTATGTTGATATTATTTTTATTATTGTTTTTATCATTACACAGTACTATCGAGATATTAATATACTCTTGAGATTATATTTCAAGAATGTAATAATAATAACAATAATAATAATAATAATAATAAAAACAATAGAAACACTGGATTACAATATTACAATATACAGTAGGCCTATTACTGTATTACTATGTTTTTAACTCATTTTTTTGAATTAGGATGGTTATTAAGAAAACAGGTGATCCGTAGGTCTAATGACTCAGTATCCATGGTGATTCTTTTATAAATCAAGTATTATTATGTGAATTAAACAGTGGATGTAAACCAAGGACTCGTGTACAAAGTTCAGTCCATAGCACTACACTATCAATGGAAGTATTATGCTTAAGCCTACCGACTATTTTGGTTTTTGTTCTTAACCGACACAGCAGAAGTACTGTAACCAGCGTTGTGCCTAGGAACATAGACAGGCCCAGTGGTATGTACATCTCTAGATTTGAGTCATCAGTAATTGCCACATCTATAAACAGAAATAAAACAAATCATATAAAACGAGTTGATTCAATACAAAAATCCATACAATTCAATTTACAAAAAAAGTAAATAAACAAATAATAAAATTAAAAAAAAATTCACAGGTTATACAGTAAACAAAGAACAACATTGATAGTGATGATGACGATGATGAATTGTAATAATAGAAATAATAATAACGATAATGATTATTATAATAACAAATAATAATAATAATAATAATAATAGCCTGTATTATTATAATAGTATACTGTGATGAATGATAATGATGAATAACAGTAATAAAACACATAAATAATAAAAACGATTACTGTGATGAAAGGTAAAAGAAAGCAATGAGGCATTAAGAAAATGATAAATGACCTACGTGTTTTGTGAAAAAAGTCATCATCATCCTCATCATCATCATCATCATCATAGCCATCATCAGGACAGTAAATCCTAGCCTCGGTTGTATTTTTTCCCATACAGATCCGATTTGAACATCTAAACTCGTCATCCTTGCATTTACAGTTGACTTCATCGCTTCGATCTCCACAATCGTCGACAGTGTCACATATCCACGCGCCTGCAACGCATTTAAAGTTGTGGCAGTGGAACTCGTTTGCATTGCACTTGCATTCCATCTCATCACTCTCATCTATACAGTCAATTCGGCCATTACATTTATGCCCAATTGGGATACAGTTTCCATCCCCACAATCGAATTCCTTCTTAGAGCAGTTGCAGACACGCTCATCGCTGGCATTCTTGCAATCTGGAGTGCCATCACATATAAGTCTGATATCAATACATGCACCGTCCCCACATCTGAATTCTCCTTGACCGCACGTGCAGTTGAACTCATCCGACGAATCACGATGGCAGTCAACGCGTCCGTTGCATTGGTAACGGAGGTCGATACAACTACCGTCCCCACACCTGAATTCGTCTTTAGTGCACCCGCAATCAGACTCGTCAGATCCGTCAGGACAATTAGTTGCGAGATCACAGACCCAAACCTTGTTTATACAAGTGCCGTCATCGCAGGTGAATTGGTTTTTAAGACACGGGCAGCGCTCCTCATCGCTTCCATCCGGACATTGTGGCTGACCATCACATCTTCTAGGATTTGGAATACACATCCCGCATGCGCACTCGAACTGCTCTTCAGTGCAGCTGCAGTTAGCTAAACTCTCATCAGAGAAATCTCCACATTGATTAAGTCCATCACAAACAAATGATCCAGCGACGCATAGACCGTTAGCGCACGTAAACTCTGTTCTCATATCACACGGACAGTTGCGTTCGTCGTATTTACTTTCACAAAAGACAACGCCATCGCAAATTCCGCCACTACCGATACATAGACCATCTGGGCAGCGACCACTTTCGTGACAAGTACAATTCCGTTCGTCATTTTGATCTACACAATCATAATGACCATCACATATTCGCTCCTTTTTTATTGTCTCACCATTACCACAGGTGAACTTACAATTCTTTTCATCTGACCCGTCTTCACAGTGAACATTTTCGTCACATACAAAATATTTCCTTAATTTTCTACCGTCAGGACAGGTGAATGTGTAGTCGCATTTAAGCTCGTCTGAACCATCTTCACAATCCTTTCTTCCATCGCATTTATCTAATTCTTTGAAACATCCATTGCCATCAAAACATTTATTATGCGGGTCACATTCGTCATGACAATCCCACTCATCTGACGAGTCTTTGCAGTTGTGATGACCGTTGCATACCTCACGAGAATTAATACATTCTTTACTTTTATTGCATTGAAATTCGTTTTCTTTACATTTACACTGGTAAGATCGTAAGTCACTTTTGCAGTCTGACGTGCACAGTGAGTCTATGTTCACACATCGGCCATCCTCGCACCTGACTTGATCTTCCAAGCACTCGCAATTCTTTTCATCAGAGTTGTCACTGCAGTCGAACTGCGTGTCACATACATGCACATGAGATATGCAACGCCCATTTTCACACATGAACGCATCGCCCTGGCAGTTGCAATCAAATTCGTCAGAACTGTCCGAGCAGTCGGCAATATTGTTGCAGACACTGGTATCATTGATACACGTACTGTGGTCTTTGCAAAGAAACTGATGTTTTTTACATTCAACTATCTCTGTTTGTATGCATTTGAGGCGGCACGTGCCGTCTTCGCACATTACCGCGGTCCCGGAGCAGGCTACACAGTTTGCTTCGTCTGACTTATCATTACAATTGAAATTCCCGTCACACAACAGCTCATTGCCAATACAAAACGCGTCCTCGACGCAGCGAAATTGATCTTTCTCGCACGGACAACCGATCTCGTCACTACCGTCCTTGCAGTCATGTTCTCCGTCGCATCTCCAAGTGTTTGAGATACACATTCCTGGAGATACGCATCGGAATTGATTTTCCTTGCAATAGCAGTATTCCTCATCTGAATTGTCTTTACAATCATAGTTAGAATTGCACACATTTTCTTGTGGAATACATTGGTCATTACTGTTGCACTGGTAGTAAGACGGTCCACAACCTAGAGAAACGTAAAATGTATTTATTAGTATTGTATAAACAAATCTGGAACAAAACAATAGAAATGAGATTGTAACATCATTTACAATAAAGATATATTGAACCACAATATTAACACAAACCTGGACATGGAGCATTTTACTTATAGACCACCTTAGTGCTAAAACCGATGTTGTTCCCGAATTCAGTATCCCGACAGGATTGGTTCCAATCTGAAGACCAGAAATGCATTTCATTTGGGCTAGTTTGGTTTCATTAGGAAATTTAAGTTAAACATTCTTAAGAATTTCTTAAAACATATTAACTTTCTGTAATCGTTTTGAGTCATTTTTATTTGTTAGTCATTCCAATTACCGTAAATGCTCGAATTAGCACCGCTTTCGAATGTGCCACTCTCGAATAAGCGCCGCACCAACCTTGTTAATTTTCTTCCCTAAGCGGCGCTCTCGAATAAGAGTTACACCATGTGTAATGAAACACTTTGAGAAACAGGGTTTAAAATACAATGTATACAGTGTTAAATTGAATGAATAACACAATGAAGACACAACCATTTCTTTAAACGTTTATTTACGATGAACCTATGATAGGCCTACTGAACTACGGGAATACGTGAGATGAAAGCGACACGCCAATATTTTTTTTTTATAAGCGCCGCTCTCGAATAAGCGCTGTACTCAAGCCTCCAACAATTTTTAAGCGCCGCGGTGCTTATTTCGAGCATATACGATAGTGTTTTGTAAGTTTATGTGTGTGTTTGGTGCTGTGTAGAACGCCATGTTGTCGACAGTGAATTCTTTAAATGCCCTATGCTACTCCTCTGTAAACTAAACGAAACTGATTACTTCTTTTAATTATGCTTGACGAGGTTAATAAAAATTAATGATTACTTATGAATTTATATACATGAAAGGGTAAATTTCAATTAATAGTGGTGACATGACCCAATAGATGTATTCATTCTTTTTCACGAGTGAGCCATAGTTCAGTCACGTGATGTTGACAGAATAACTGAAAATTTAAACTTAATAGACCTTTCCCCTAAACCCCGCCCCTTGGATTTTGTTGGTAAGATCCCACAATACAAAAAAGTAGCGTAAATATACTGTACGTAAACACGTACAATTTTACTGACAATACGTGCGTTTGTTGTACATGCTGTATTCTTGTCACTAATCTGATTGGTCAGTTAAGTTTGATTGGCACTCAGGAAAGGTATATTTAGAACGATTTGTGGACTATTTAATATACCGTACTCGTGCGAATAAGCGCTCCGTTTGAATACCCGAATAACGTGAAAATTTCCCTCAAGCGCCCCGTTTGAATAAGCGCCCCCTAATAAGATTTTCTTTTTAGCAAGTCAATAATCCAATCAATCCTGGGACTGTGGTTGTTGGCATGATTTGAGCTGTAGAGTGGAAACATATTCTTCTTCAGCCAATATCAAAATGAGGATATTTCTCTTGGACAGAGTGCTCCGATCCCTGGACATACAGTATATTTCCAACTTTAATCGTTTTACATATCTGTCTATGTCTAGTCCTACTCCTCTTTTCCATTTTTCGACCTTATAAGCACATTCTCATCTGAGTTTTCAAGAAAAATACAATGATTCTGCCATCCTGCTAATCTCAATCGGCCGATGGCCAACAAGCTTACCACTACCCACCACTAATTGCATCTGTTATTTTGCTGTTATGTAAATATTCACGCATTCTTGTTATGAGCCATGTTCTCTGGACGATTATCTTTTCTAACCACCATTCGTAATGTCCATATATAATCTTTTTTTTTTCATTCAAAAAGTACCTCTTGAATTTTTAATTATTAAAATAATTTCCCATAAGAACCCCTCGAGTTTCATCTATTTCTATAAGCGCCTCCTCTCTGTTTTCATAAGCACCCCGTTTAAATAAGCGCCCCGTTTGAATAAGCGCCCCTCAGAAAGTGCAAAAAAATATTTTAAGCGCCCGGACGCTTATTCGCGCGAGTACGGTATTTGCAAACACTTTTATGTTTCGTCACAGACGGGCGAGTAAATGCTGGGATTTTGGACGATTATATATAAATTTAAAATTTAACGCTGTTCAAATGCATCGACGGTTGCACTTTGCAAACAAGAGTTTTTACTTACAGTGATTTTTTTTTCCAAAACATTAAGACGAGATACCTTTTGATCGACAGACGTTTTGACGACAGCAGAAAAAAAAAATCACCAACCCAACAATCACACACCCACACACGCACATAAGCATTCGCGAACATTGTGGTCGTTGTAGAAATCTGTCAGAAAATAACGTTGCATGAACGTTTGCAAATTTATTTAGCCAGAAATGGCGTTAAATACACGTCACCCCTTTTTGAATGCCAAACTGCAATGTTGTTGAACCTAAAATTGTAGCTGAGCAATTGCCGAAATACTGGTTTTTAAGGTCGGAAAGTATCTCCCGACGAACAGGAAAATCTACAAAATGTCGTCTCGGTAGCATTTTCTGCCATTAAATTGAACTGTCCGTGAAACATCTGCCGACAAAAACGCTGGTCGGTAAATTGGATGTCATCAGCGGAAAAGACTGAAAGCAACATTCCGTGTTGGCGGCGAATTTGCATTAAGAAAGGTAAAACCTCTGTCAAAAATAACCTTCCTGTCAACGGCTTGTTCGTTTTTTTACCAACAGCGATTTCCGAATTCGCCAAAAAAAAAAAAAGAAAAAAAAGTGGAGATTATTCATTATTAATATCTGTCGGCGAAAGTCTGTGGACAAAATGTACAGTTGACGAAATGTTGTTTTTTTTGGGGTTTTTTTTCGGAAAAATGGCCTCCATTTCTATTATTCATTTCTAATATTACCGTACTCATTGGTTTAGAGAATATTATTATTATATTATGTATAATGGCTTATAAGTCTAATAAATATTGTAACCGCCTCTCATCAATATTGATGGTAACATCAGGCCTGATATACCATGATCTACAAAAAAAAAAAAAAAAAAAAAAAAATGAAAAAAAAAAAAAAAGAAAAAAAAAAAAAAGTAAAACAACTATTATTTAACGAAAAACTTTATGTAAACTTATTAAAAGAGATTTAAACCCATGGATGATACCAGGTGGTGTGGTTGCTAACGTTAGAAATGAAATCGTAGACATATTGTGGTATATTATACAGGTACGTATATAAGCCTTAATATATATATGTATGTATATATATATGTATTATATGTATATATATATATATATAAATCAGATATATATATATATATATGTATATATATATGCGTATATTTATGCATATATTTATGTATAGGTGTAATTTTGCCTTACCTGACGTGGAAATGTACTGAATACTCAGTACGTTTGAAAATAATTGCGAAAAACAATTGTTCTCGGGTGGGACTCGATTCCACAATCTCCAGATCACTAGCCTGGCATCATACCTCAAGACCACCGAGCTGGCGCCTGATGGCCAGGGTTGAATTCGAGTCCAAGTAAGCAGCGGGTACTGCATTGTTGATAGCAATTATTATTGTCGTGATGGAATAGACAATAACTGGATTTGCTTCAGGAGAAACATGTATATGTGTAATTTTGCCCTACCTGACGTGGAAATGTAATGAATACTCAGTACGTTTGAAAACAATTGCGAAAAAATACACCTATACAAAAATACACCTATACATGTTTCTCCTGACGCAAATCCAGTTATTGTCTATTCCATCACGACAATAACAATTACTATCATATATTTATGCATATATATATATATATATATATAATATGCATAAATATGTATATTATATATATATATATAATATGTATAATATAAAAGCTTTTCTAGTTTATATGTAGCTCCACTATGTGTCAATGTTTCAGTCAGTTGTATAACAGAAAGTGCCTGAGGGCTAGATATGCACGTATCTATCCCTACAGTATATGTCTCCGTGATGGGTATGACACTTGCCTTGACAGCGAGAGGTTGCAGGTTCGAATTTCGCCAGAGACACTATTTTTCAACTGATCAAGAATTAATGCTTCGTCGATTGCTATGCTTAATACGATTACAAAATGTACAGTTAACGATATGTGTTTTCAGAAATATGACATTATCATGCCTTTGTTTCTATTATTTATCATTTCTAATAATACTTATTGTTTTTGATAACGGTAAAATCGTAGACATATTGTGGTATTATATAATATATATATTTATATATATACATATATATATATATATATATATAAATTATCAAAGAAAGGTAAATACAGTGTTCGAATAAAGGACATAAATACATCGTGTAGCATAGCTCTCAACGAATGTAGTCCTTTAAATAAATGAGTAAAGAAATTGTGTAAAATTCCTCTGGCGGGACTCAAACCTGCGACCTCTCGCTGTCAAGGCGAGCGTCATAACCATTAGACCACGGAGGCTTCATGGTTAAACAGATTCAAATACCACCAGATACACTCCATTACACAATAAGTACGGCTAGAAACAAATATATTTGCGCTGATTACGGTACTAGCTGCAATTTATGGAATGATAATATAATTTCATTTACTTATTTAATTTGGTGTTTCAATGTGTTCCATATGTGTTTGATCCAATGACCGAGGTAGTAATGCGAAGCGCTTAGAGGCCTTGTAAAGGCACGAAGCGCTATAATATAAGAATGACATATTATTATTATTATTATTAAGTAATACATTCAAATATCCAGAAAATGTGTGTTATGTACACGATGTATTTATTAAGTCCTTTATTCGAACACTGTATTTACCTTTCTTTGATGATTCATATATATATATATATATATATATATATATGGCTAGCTAGACCGCCTTGGCTAGGCTCTATGTTAGCCGGCGATGAGGTATGCAACAACTTGTTGCTGTTTAATATCAATGATTTGATGGCAATGCCGATCTATCTAGCTAAATCCATGTAGGCCTAGAAGATAGACCTTATATGCATTTAGTACATGTTAACACATAAAGAGAATATTATGGTGAATGGCGCATGCAGTTGAAGTCGCGTAGTAGTCGCGTGGTCATTTTGTCCCTGGCTATTTCACAACACGGTAGGCCTACTAAGGCCCTATAGTGTATTTTCTTTTCTATTTGTTTATCTGGCAAAAAAATAATTAAAAAAAAATAAATCGTGGCCAAAGTTTACTTTTAAAAAAAAACATCACTAACCAAGTGTGAAATCATGTAGGTAAGAGGTACCTTGCGCCACCCTGGAAAAATCTGTATCTGTCCCTGTTAGGTAGGTACTACCAGTACATAATTATTTCCACTTCGCTAAATATGTATGTATATGTATGTATGTATGTATATATATATATATATATATATATATATATATACGTATATATATGTATATATATATCATATATAATTACTAATTACATATATATTATATATAAATATATAGGCCTATATATATATATAAGAATAATAATGTAAACAAAATAATTATACAATCATAAAAGTAAGTGGTAATCATGAAATAAGCAATTTAAGCAATTTCAGTTTACAACGGTTTCGGAATTGCTACTTTGATATACTATTTATAGCATTGACAATTTGAAATTGATTGATTATTACCTAGGCCTACAATTGTATTCGTCATTATTATATATTGCCTATTATCATTCCGATGTCTCCAATACTTCAATTATACTTTCCGTTTGTATCCAGCAAGTAAAGAATTTCACAGACTGTAACACTACAGCTACTACAGTACGTGATGTCGGTCAATAATAATAGTGAGAGATAAAATTTAATACTTTAATTGAATAATCTCAGTGTACTTACTCGGATATGAGCTGGAAATATTGACTTCTGATACAATAAGCAGCCCTGTATGTATCGAATTGAAGACGAACAACAGCCAGATTAAACGCGGAAACATTGTTTTTTCTTAACTCACTTCTCTAATCGACAGGAATAAAAGCACCATTCTTGCTGGTGCACTGACAAGATTCATATAATCACCGCTACCTTAAGTCAATAATCATTATAAGGTATAAGGTTGTCTAGCCGGATACCGTTTAGGAACACGTTAATAATCAACATACACAGTAAAGTATTTTGCTTTAACGACGGATATCATCTTACTCTCTTGTCGTTGTTTTCCATTTCACGATACATTTACATTTTGTTGAAAAGAACTCCACCCGGATACAATGTCTTTTCTATATTGTAGTGCAGTATTGCGGGCCAACACAAAACAGTTTTATGATGAGACCAAAGCAGGCATGAACTTTGACATTGGATATGCATCTATTCGCAGCCGTCATCGACTATGGTGACCGTTCACTCACTCTGGCGTGAGTTTAGAGACATGTGCACAAGATCCTACGAGTCAGTTAGCATGGGTTAAATAACAAAATACATCAGAAAAATAGGGCAAACTAAGCGCTATTATTAAATTCATCTGTTTTCAATTTATTCGATATCTTCGCTTGTGTTTCCATACCAATCACGATTTTATAAAATATTAAACTAACAAAGAATGTTTATAATTTATTTCATATTACAAATGACCCTTTTAAATTATGTGGAAAAGAATTATATTATTTTTGAAATTATGATGATGACGGTTATGATTTGTTAATCTAAATAATCAAAAGTAATAGTAATACTAATAGTATGAAATTAGTATACAAGGATATATTATCAATATTATAATAAAGGTTATAATTAGTATACAAGGATTTAAAAAAAAAATCTTGGTTGTATATCGACGTTTATATAACAAACGAAAGGTATAATCGTCTTATTTATTTATGTATTTATTTATTAAAAGGACAACATTCGTTGACAACTATGCTACACGATGTACCATAATATGTTCTTTATTTCAACATCGTATTTGCCTTTCTTTGATGATTTATTTATTAGGACAACAAATAAGCATAGCTCCCAAACTAATGTTTTCATATATCATATATATATATATATATATACATATAGGCCTATATACATATATATATACATATACAGTATATATATCTGTCTCTTATACACATCTAGATGTGTATAAGAGACAGGTGTTAGGCATGTATAAGTGACTTTTTACCAATTCTAAATTATAATGTGCAGTAGTCAAATACTTTCAACCTAGACTTTTATGTATACATTGCTTTATCAGCTTTTGTATAAGGGAGCGAGGCCCTTGTAGATCGTGGGCCCCTGGAGCCCGGGGTCCAGGTTCATGAAATATCTTACCTCATCCCCATCAATGGTACGGTAGAGATGAGGTGGTGGACTTCTATTTGTGAAAGTGATTCACTGAGCCAATTCTATTTTCAATTCCTGGATCCGACACCGATTAGTATTTATTACTAGCCTAGGCAATTACCATAGGGTTTCTAATGTTGTATTTATATAGCGCATATTGCACATTGCCCCTATGCGCTTTACAGAGAAATAATATAGGCCAACTGAGAAAAAGCAAATAACAATAAAAGTTTATAAAAGTATTTCACGTATTAAGATGTAAATTTATAAGGCTTTTCTTTTTTTTTCTTGGTTGTATGACCGCGTACATTAGGCCTGTATACCGTATTTTAATTTTCCTCTTGAGTTTTTAAACGACACTAGCCATTTCCTGGGTACACTTATGTTTGGTTTGTATTTCTACTTTAAATAATATGACAAATAGCCCATAAAAGCAGGTGGGGAGCAAGTGTGCATAGAGAAATATGAGTAATACACATCTACATCGAATAAATTAGATTCAGAAATTTACTGCGGTAGTAAGTAACAGGACCCATTTCTGCTCTTCCATCCAAATCCGCTAAGGTTTCTTGGCGGTCCCCTCCCACCATTCGGTCCATAATTTAATTTTTTTGTTTTCAACTCAACAATATATATTTATAAGACATTGACCATATTCATTTGCGTTGTAATATTAATCACAATTTAGGACAATAGGCCTACTCTAACTAATCACCTGACTTAATATGATTTTCAGGGCGGATGCAGCTCGGTAAAAAAGAGGGGGCGTGAATGTGCGAACTGAGGGAGAGCCTCAGGGAAGAGCCTCTGTTAGGGTTGCATTGAGGCGAATCTTCCTTAAACATCTAGCACCTTCATTATCTGATTGATTTTTACAATTTTGCTTGGTAATTTTCTGATAAGCTTTACAAACCATTTTTACACAAAAAGTAGAGGAGAACACGTCCCCGTATACGTAACACTCTAAATCCGACACTGAATAGTTAAATTAAAAATAACTAAAACTAACAGTTTAATTTCATTTAGAGTCACTGAGACATAGGCCTGCATGTATATGAGAGCAGCTTAGCTCAGTCGGCTGAACCGTAGAGATTCCTTGGTCTCCGGTTTAGCGTCTTGTGTTTTAGCTGGAGGGCTGCAATGGAAGTTTTAATAGCGCACCGTCGATTTTAAGAGACGTTTAAGCCCCGTTGGTCCCATGTGATTAAATAGTAGTACACTCTTCGGCAAAGAGCAGGGGATAGTCTCCCCATCACCACCAGAAGCTGCATAGTCTTCAGCATGTTGAAGGCGGCAGCAAACAAGAAGAAGAAAATATTAGATATCAATACATAATAAGTTTATATTAATTTAGCTTTCTCAACCGACATCAAACCATTATTTCCTATACACTTCTGTTTGGGTTTATTGTCCTTCGGTGTTAGCTCGCACTAGAAATATCCCATGAAAGTAGCGTTGAGATGGGGAGGAAACAGACCGGGCAAGTAAGAATAAAAACCTCATCCATTCTGGACGGCTACTTTATAATTCATTAATTTTAAATACCACAGAAGCCCGAAGATATTTTCTTATTTTCACTGTAGTAATTCTGGTTGTGAATTGGGTAGTATAAAAAAATCGGGTCTTCTTTGAAATCGCTCTGTAATTATAGAGTAGTTGGATTCAGCCCTCTAGTTAATACGCATGACGTCACCGATGGAAATGAACCCAGACCAAAGGGTCTGTACGAATTTCCACCATTCAGCACACACATGTTAGACCACCAGTTGAGTCTCTGATCTCTCATTTGACTTTCAGTATTTTACCATTTATATGCACAATACAGGCATTGTCTCTTATACACATCTAGATGTGTATAAGAGAAAGTATGTATATATATATATTGCTAGATCTTTTTTGAAATGCGAGTTGATAGTCAATATTAAGGAACTGTAAGTTGATAGTCAATATGAACAAACTGGCAGTTGATGGTCAATATAAACAAACTGTATATTTGTAATGATTGTAGAACTGTTTGATCAAAGTCATATACCGTAGGCCTATACAAACTGATAGTTGATAGTAAATATACAATAGGCCAATGTAAGTTGATAGTCAATATGAATAAACTATGATCAAAGTTATTAAATTATGAAGAACACTTTGAGTTTTCTTTCTCTATGTTTGAAAGTTAATATCAACAGACTGTTTTGTAAAATAGCTATATGGACAGCCATTGGTTGATAGTCAATATTGACACAACTACTATCAGTTTATACCTGTACAAACTTTGAGTTGGAGCCACTAATGATCAACCTACTGCAAAGTCCTTAATGTTTAAAACAATTAATGTTTAAAACAATTAATGTTTAAAACAATTAATGTTTAAAACAATTAATGTTTAAAACAATTAATGTTTAAAACAATTAATGTTTAAAACAATTAATGTTTAAAACAATTAATGTTTAAAACAATTAATGTTTAACGCCAGGATTTGCCGCTGTCTCTTATACACATCTAGATGTGTATAAGAGACAGATATATTATATACCTATATATAAACAAATAGATAAAATATGTATATAATTTCAAGCACAGGCTTTTAAAAACAATTTTTTTAAATATTAAAAACAGCTATTTTACTGAATGCTCATAATTCATTTTTCACGATTGAGAATTAAGCTCAATCAAGTATTGTTTTGCAAATAACGGCCACGACTGTAAATTAAAACCATCAACTGAAATAATACGTTGCAAATCATGTGGCGACATCCGGAGTCGTCAGCATACAGTTTCCTAGTAAAAGAATGACGCCATGTACTAATTAAAAATCCCAGGATGCAATACAAAAGTGAAAGGAAGTGTCGCAATTCTCTTACACTTTTAAGTACTGTATTTTATCTTTAATAGAAGTCCTTTTTATGTAGCAGTTCCTAGTGTCCTCGCCATAATTGTTATTGCGACCCTAAGTCCATCCTTTTAATTGCCAGCATTTGCAGGGGGCGCAATTTACTCCTGACTACAATAGTTCGAATTTAAAATCCTGCTTTTATTTTTATCCTCAACCAATTCTTAAATTACATGAACATACCTTTACTTTTGTCTTTTGATTGTTTGCTGTCTTTCCCAAATTTGTTTTCGTATTTTTAATTAATGTATATAGTACATCCATCAACCATTGCCCATTATCATCATGCGGGTTGCCTCCCCGGCACACGTTTAACATTAAAAGTATATCGCCTAAGTAAGCTGTTAGTTAAAAATGATAATTACTGGGAAATTCAGCCGTATATCCGTTGCTTCTGGCCCAAATATTAGAACGTTTGTAATATTTCAGTAAGTTAGTGAAAACTGTTTTGGTCTGTGTTTCTTTGAATGTTAAAATGTTACATTTTACAAATGACACGAAAGTAACTTTAGTATGGAGATACGCCTCCACTGGTGATAGTTAAAGATGATAGTTACACTTTCGTGTGATTCATTGTGTATTACGCAATACCTTAAAAAAAGGTGTCCTAATGGGAAAATCCAAAGGTGAATTCCGCAAATGCACTTTGCGCACAAAACAATCCGAAAATCGTATAGGCCTATGTGTGGTGGATAAACGTTAGCTGAACCCACCGAAAGAGTAAATTGCGCCCTCTTCCGAATTCTACCTATATTGAATAATAGGCAATTATAAAGAATTCATTAAGAGAATGTAACAAAAGATTGCCACTCTTGTTGTCCCCGACTTCGTGTCCCCGACTTAACTTCTATATCGCCTAAATCGCAGTGTCCGTGTCCTCTCCATTTGCTATCAGTAATCCCTGACTCCCATCCCAACCTGCCTCCTGTTGCATGCATATTGCATGCATGCATGCATGCGGGTAATAATTGTTGGACTGGACTTTATCTTCAGGCATAAAAAAAAAATAACACGATCCATTATCACTCGCATAATCCTCTCCTTTATAGATAACCGCATAGTCATTAAAAATGCACATCAATAAAGCATTTGTTCAGCCGTTGTC